TTCAACCAGCACTCACAATCGTGCCCTCAAGCAAAACAGAGAAGTTGTTTGGCCTCATCCGCGGCGGATATGAAAGCTTGTTTTTTTTTTGCTTCGCTTCCCCCGTCTTCGCTTCCCCAGCTGTCGCACCGAAAAAAAAACATTCTGTACCTGCACCTGCCCCATTCATGCACTGGCTTGCAGGCCTCCACCCTGAATAAGAAATTGGGTACGATTCAGGGTCAAATTTCTTGTTTGGAACGATTTCTGATCATATGTGTGGGCCGTACCTCCACTACATGGCTTTGTGTGTGTTAAGCCTAAACCGAACCCTATAATTCAACCCATAACCTATATGTATATATATATATGCATATACAGGGATTACATTACCATATTCCCTACCAACCACATGTAGTGATTTTAGCTACGGAAGGGCTGTCTTTTTGGCGTGGGATTGCCGGGAAACTCGCTGTTTCATAGGCATAGATTAGAAGTACATGGGTTCACTTAGGAGGTTAGCCCTGAGGCTTCCAGTTTGGACCCAGGCGGGTGCCGATTCCTTTGTTTTTTTCGGGTGGGGGTGGTTTTGGTGCCTAAGCGGTTTTTTGTTTGGGTACTCTGTAGGGTTGGACTCCAAGGTTACAAAGCTTACGTTGAATGCACATTTCAGCCGTGGGAGAACCAAAATGTTCAGGGTTTGATGGAACCCCTATCCTCCTGCCTCTTTCGCGTCTGGTATTTCGAAGGACCTGTTTTCTCCGGAGGGCGTGGAACCACGGCTGGCATTGAGAGCATTCTTGCTGCCGCGCTGCCCTACAAGGGTAAGTACCTGATAAAAATCACGTATCTCCCCCAACAACAAACTGCCACTGCTACACAAACCCAAATACCCAATCAATGAGTATGCGGCCCTCATGAGACTCTTGACACATAGGATGAATCCTGAAGGTTGTGGTGCATGACATGGAAAATAGCCAAGCCCCAAATGCTGCAGAGCAGAGAATGAAACCCATTGATTTGCCTGCTGGCCTCAGTAGTACAAATAGCAAAGATGCCTGGACAGCAGCCGTGAATGAGTATGCAGTTTTCAGCGAAGGTGTCGTTTCAAGACGAGCGTCATAAGACTCTACAAGTAGTGGTTCCACGAACCAAAGACGGGGTCTCTTCTTTTCCGGCTTTTGTGATTGCATTCTGGCACGTTTGGTAGTGGTTATGGGTCTTAATTTCAGAGATGTATCCGAGACGAACAGACCCACCATGCGAATAGCTTTCAGTTTTCAAGGTCAGGTCTTTTGACATAAAGACCGAGGACCCCTCATGAATTCAATCGAAGCTGAAGGACCCCTCTTGCCTTATTAATTTTAAGAGGAGCCATAGGATCCCCCAGACCCCCAATTTGTTTTGAGGTCTTTTGATTACAGAGGCTGACTTTTTTGTTTTTGGCAGGGGGGCCCACACTAATCAGGCTCCAACATCAGTATTTAGCTGTCAACATGCAAGTACAGGTACTAATTGGTTACCAGCAGTGGGAGTAAGAAGCAAGAGTAACCAGCAAGGAACTATTAGAGCGCACCTGGGCACAAGACTGCGATGGGGTCTCGGCGCTATCCTTCTCGGCGCAGCCTGCCCTGTGGAATTGGGGGTGTCTTACCATAGGTGGTGCTCAGCGACCTTGGGAATGTATGGGGACCACCAAAGGGTATTCTGGGCCCATTCAGGATTCTATAGCCCAGAAATCGTGTTGAGGAATGGTTTGGTCTCTCCCTCAGAAAGTGGGGGTACCGAAAAGCAGATCTTTCGGATTTAGGGTTTCTTAGAAGCAGGCCGTAATTATGAAGTTCTATGTCGCACTAGGCGTGGGTAGGAATTCGGAATTGGGTTTGGAGTTTCTTCTTCCTAAAGCCCAAAAGTATGTAAAATAATAGCCCTACAACCCTTAAATACAGCCAAAAAGGCTATAATTCTACTTACTTTAGGGGCCCAGGTTGGCATTTCCTACCCTCAATTAGGGCCTAAGTACCCACTATTATAGGGACCATATATCCCCAATTAAGGGTACAAGGAGGGTCCTGGTTCTTGGCGTTGTAGACGAAAGGAGAGCCCAATTCGTCGGAGCGAAGCTCGCGCTTTCAGGGCGGAAGTCCATCTGAGCTATAGTCTAAACTCCCTGAAGGGGAGTTATATGGGGGATTCTACATGGGACTACTATAGGGGATATTAAGGGGGATACTAGGAGTTTAGCCTATAGCTCATCTAATCCAAGTGTGTGGTGATTCTGAGGGTTTGCATATTCTCGTAGAGTTTTGGGCACGGACAGCTGTGGAATTCTTATGCTTAGGGCTTAAGGTCTAGGGGTGTTTGGAGAGGTGACACAAGACAAGGAACTCCCTTCGCCTTTTACCCTTTCTCAGTCCTTCATTGCATGAAAAGGAACCCGACCGAGATGAGAGTAATTAGCTTCTAACACATGATATTGGGATAATGAAAAAGAAGATGGAGGTGATTATATAGATACATCCGGGTAAGTTTAGGTTTTTGGACCCAGGGGTTAGGGTAAGAGTAGAGATTTAAATGGAAAAGAAATTCAACGTGGGCATGGGAACTGGGTTTATGGGGGGGGATTATCTGGGCTACTGTACATGCTAGGGTTACCAGGGTACCATGAAGGATGAACACAGGCGTCCTTTGGTAACTTAGTATAGTCCCTAATACTTTTCCGAACAGGAACACATATCAAGTAATTCTGAACCCCAAATCGTAAATAACATAGTAGTATCCATGGCATTTCCCGTTTTCTTATCCATGTGCTTTTCCTTTACTTACACAAAACAAGCCCATTGGCTGTAGCTCATATGAATAGCTCAGTCCAACTAAGTACAACCTTTGCCATATCATTATTGTTGTAATCCTCCTTGTTAGGATTGACTTTTGTTATTCTTACGACTATTACAATTGGTAATTCCTATTCTCACGTTTATGAATATTCGTCTCACAACTATCACTAATTTAAATCGTGAACCACTGCTACATGATTTAAGGTGTCGGATTTAGGGCCTGGGGTTTAAGATTTGGGGCTTAAGGTTTGGGGTTTAGGGTTTGTTTGGTTGAGGCTGGCATGGAAAACTGGATCTCCATAGCAGTCCTTGCGTGCACTTTAGTACAAAGTCCTTAAGGGGGGATATATAGGGGAGTATATAGGGGAATTCTATAGGGGTTAATAAGGGGTACTAGGAGTTTTGACTTCAGCTCGCATAATCCCTCATAATAGTCCCCAGTACTAGCCGCCAGTGAGTTCAGCCACTTACAACTTCGCTGCTCAGAGGGTATTGCGCCTTTTTTCAAACTGCCCTACATGAGCCCGAAATGGGATACCCAGAGTTCCCATGGCCCCTATGTATTTCTAGGGCCCCACAAGGGCCCAGAATCTAGACCCCGCAATGCATTTTCAAGCTGAGCTTGCTTAAAGCAGTGTCTTAATGTGGGGGTTTCCACGAAATTGAGGTCCTGTTTTGGCGACACTTTCCAAAAGGATGTCAAGTTCTTTTGCGGGTATACAGAGGGTCCTACCTGTTGCCAATCATGTACTGTAGGAGCTAAAATGATTACCAACAGTATGGTCTCACATTCCTCGTATAATTATGGTATAGGGTACTTCACTTAGACCTCGCAAGGATACTGGTAGTCATCTAGGCCCCTATGGAACAAGCACTATACTATACATGGCATCCCAGTTTCCATTTCCATGTGCCGTTTTCTTTTCCGCCTGATTCTGCACGATTCTATCGTTGATATGGGTAATTCGAATTTGGATCCTATCCGGTAAGGGGTTCCAAAGAAAGAAATAATTGTAATCTCCCCCGTGCTGCAAACCCTTAGCCGCCAAACCTTTCAAAAGAGGCGTTATATGGGGGCCTATACGGGGAAGGACAAGCAAATGGAAACCACTCTCCTGTTTAGGGTTTGTCTCGTTTGGGGTTTGGCCAGACCTTTAACCTTCAACCCCTAAACCACTGAGCCCAAATCCTAAACTGCATCTTTGCAATCAGAAAAGCAGCTTAGGCTGGAACTGGCCATTGGTGCGGCCGGTGAGAGTGTCTGATCTGGATTTACATGTGACTTCATGTACCTGCAGTATAACAGCATTTACCCATTAATTTGTAGGTAGAACCCATAAAGCTGCAGGTAAATGGAGACACAGGTAGGGCTTGGGTCTCATGCTGAAGGCACGCGATGGAAGAGTCATCCTCTCTGCAATTTTCCCTGGTTGTCGTTTCTTTGTCTGCCAATGCTTGGAATGCTACTGTTCCTTTGGAAGGTTCTGAGTCCCGACCCCTGAACCCTGAATTCCAAGCCCTGTCTACACCTCAATTCCTACATCTTTTGCTCTATGCCTTAAGTGACTAGGGCGTTGCTACTCCCGAGTAGTGGGGAATGAGGTCCAGGGATTACTGTTGTGGATTGTGGTATGCTAATATAGGGACTCATTAGGGATGGGTTTATTGCACGTCTTGCTAACTAGTGGCAAGTTTATCAGGCGAACTGGAACAGCTTTTTGGGGGTTTAGCCAGACGGAGTCATCTTCTGTGCTTGCATTCATCAATCTTTTTGTCTGCGTTTAAGCTTTCTTCTCTGTTTCCTTGTTGACATGATTAGTAACAGGATTTTGGTAACCCCATACCCTCATAATTGGAACTCTATGACTTTTACCATAGTCATCCTACTTGTTGGAGCCTAATTTTGGGGTTGGGGTGTCCAGAAACCCTTCATTAATGATTGGCAGATTAGCCGTAAGCCCACCTGCTGTGAAACCATCAGCCAGCCACCAAACTGTGTCAGAACCCTCATCTGTAAACCAAACCGCAGCTAAGGTAATTTAGTCAATGGTATTCTTCAGGTGGTGCAAACGCAGGCTGTCGGGCCCATGTTGGATTTAGAAGTTCTGGGGTGCTGATTTGCTTTGTGATAACAAGCTGCTGTCTTCATGTGCATGCGCTACCCGTCAAAGGCGCCCCAGATGGTGTGGACCCCAAAGGTTTGGTGTACTAGGATTTCAACAACTAGGCATTTGGGAGTCTTCACGTTGGCGTGCTTCAGGGAGGTGATTCAAGAACCTTAAACCCTAAACCCCAATTGCGTTTCAGAAGGTTTGGCAGTCCTTCGAACCGGTTTGACAACAGGAGTATCGTTGTATCTGCGCGATTCACTTCTTCATATACGTGAAGGTTTGCATAGGCTCCCGCGCCTCAGTTTCCAAAGAAGCAGGGAGCAATTTCTAAACGTAATTCGGAGCCCTCCATTCCTGTACCTGCTGTGTAAGCCCCTGTGTCATGTGTATATTGCATAGTCATTGAAGTTCACAAGAAATTCACATGACCCGAATCCCCATCCAACAATTCTTGAAGGAAGCCATTTGTTGAGAATGCGCTCGACTCTAAACTTAAAACCCTCAACCGCAAACCTGAAAGACAAGCCCCCTTGCTGGTGGAGAGTAGGGAATGGAGGCATAGATCCCCAGACCAGCTATACATCCTGTTCACTCTTGTTATAGATCCCTACTAACCACGAACACTCGTAAAGCCTAACCCCCTAAGCCTAAAGAACTCTTCATTCCCCAAGGGTCCAAGTACCGAATAATTAGGTACGTGGGTTTAGGGGAATAGTAATTGTAGTGCAGGTTTCGGGTAAGTCTATGATTATTCGGTATTTGGACCCTTAGGCCTTAGGGACTAAGAGTCATCCGGGCACCTCAGCCGGTCATAAGGAGCCTTGAGGTGTAAAGTTCTCCCTTGTCAGCCAAGACTGGGGCCTTTGTCCCAAAATGAGGGGACCCCACAATATTTTACTAGAATCCTTTTTATAGATACCCGCAAAAAGGTACCCCTAATTTTGGGACACTCTCAAATATCAAGCAAGGATTTAAGGTCTGCTTTTTTAGAAAGGATCAGGGTTGAGCGTTAAGGGTGTACGGGTTTGAGTAACTAGCAGAATGGACGAACACGTGGGAAAGAACACGGAGCATGGAAAGTGGTACATATAGTGGTGTATAGTGCTGGTAGACGAGGAGCCCATGCAAAATGCAATATGTAAGGCTTTAATTAACAGCTTCAGAGGGGTCATAGAGTGAAAAGTCTCGGCACATGTTCAATCAGTAGAGCTGGAAAGCCGACCAAACCCTTAACCCTAAACCCTAATTAGAGCTGGAAAGCCCGATGAGCTAGGGAGTTAGTGAGGATGATTCTTCAGGTTCTGAGGTCCATATAATCCCCCTCCCATATACTATAGTAGTTACCATTTTCTTTTCCATTAACCCCAATATACTATACTAGTTTCCATTTTCTTTTCCATTATCCCAATATAACCCCAACATACTATAGTAATTTCCATTTTCTTTTCCATTATCCCAATATAACCTCAATACACTATAGCAGTTTTCATTTTCTCTTCCATTATCCCAATATATCTCCAATATACTATAGTACTTTCCATTTTCTTCTCCATTATTCCCATCCTACCCCCCTACCAAGAAATATTTTCGCAATTATAACATGGTACTACATTGGCGGTATTTGTTATTTTGGGGCGGGCCGGTTCATAATTCCGAGGAAGAGACAAACAAGGACGTCGCTATGTGTGTGTGTGTGGGGTGGGGGGGTGACATAGGGTGTTTAAAATCCCGAGAAATGCGCGATCCTTGTGTCAAAGCTTGAGGAAGTCCGACGAAGCTAGACTCAGCAACTGGTTAACCAACGCCTCCTTAAAGCGCCACGGAATGGGCTTTCTGGTGCAGGCTTCAGGCTTTATAGTCACCCTTAAGTAGATAGAATATGGGGTATATGGGTATCTTATTATTATTATATACCCAAAGCCATATTGTATCTACTTAAGGGGGACTATAGAGTGTTTGGGTGTTATACAGCTCCTGAGCCCTCATTGCCGGAGGGCAGCCGCAATCTTCAAATATCTTGGCGACGCAGAGCCTTACAGTAAACAAGTAAACACACTACCCTAAACCCTAAAACCACAGCAATGGCTTGCTTTGCTAACATGTCTTACTACCTTGCGTGAATGTAGCACATGTTGATAAATCATCAACAGGCTTTCCCTAAACCCTCTGCTACGCGGCGCTAAAAAATCTGCCAATATGACGGTTCTAGATTCCCTGCATAAAAAGGGTATAGGGTACCTCAAGGAGACCTCAAAGCCTATATCATGTTATTTGGGCCCCTAAACCCTATACCCTAAACCCTAAACCCCTAAAACCTATACTATCCTGGCAGGCAGGAGGTCGACTGCTGCTGTTAAACTGTGCGGTGCCTCCGGGCTTGACCATTACTCCCCGCCACTTGCTGTGAAGTTTAGGGTTACAGGGGTTATATAGGCGTTATATGGGGTTATTTAGGGGTTATATAGGGGTTCTATTGGGGTAATGGAAAAGAAAGTGGAAATTATGCTTTATTGTTTAGGGTTTAGGGTTCCTGAGTATTGCTCTCCCCCAAAACGAGCATGGAACTTCCAACAAGGCCATGTAACGACCAGCGTCCTTTTCAAACAAGTTTTTGTGGGTTTCCATGTTGGTTTGGGCGAGGGAAGGGCTGAGGGATTGGAGTCTAGCATTTATGGGCACGGGTTTAGGGATGTGGGGCATTTTGTGGTCCCTGCTGTAAGGCTTCTTGTGCTGTGGAGCGATGTGGAACGCTAAGTTCGGGATATACGTTGTTTCCTCCAGATTAAATGCTTTAGTGAGGTGGGGTTCAGCACATTCAGACGGGTTCATGCAGGCTTTGTGCCATTACATCGACACCTTGGATGCCTTTGGTTGCCCCGTTATCGGAAGATGAGGCGTTCCAGAAGCTTCCATTTAATTTATATGTGTTAGAAGGACCCATCACTCTGTAATGATTAGTGGTGTAGTAGGAATAAAATAGGACCCTAATGTAATCTGCTATTCTTATCCCTTATAGTCACTATGACTGGGTGGGGGGTCCACCCCATTCAAATGTGTACAGCATGTTGAGTAAGGTTGCATGTCTGATGAGCCCTTGCACCTTCTTGAAATTAGGTAGGTGGCCCTAGGTGGCTTAGTTTCATTTTCACAAGGCCCTAAACCCCAAAGCTTAAACCCCTAACCCTTACAAGTCAGAGCTTGAAGAATTCAGATTTGGAGTCTCGACGTTGTTTCTTGCTCAATCCTAACTTAAGTGAACCGCTCACGAGATTCAATATTAGCCTAAACCCCTATAACTTGTTCTTTTCAGAAGTCCGAAGTGTGGGACCCTAATATGGGCCCGCCCCTCGCTGTTTCAGTCTCCCGACTATGGGCCCTGAATTGGCTTTGCAGGGTTGAAGAGGGTAGCTAATGGGTAGATAAGGACCCCCGGCTTACCCTAAACCCCTAGTACAAGACCTCTACATATGGTCGGTCAATTATGGCCTTTTTTTGGATTCAAATCATGATATTGCCCAGTGATTTGACAACCCACTACGAGTTCGCAAGATTAGCCCGAATCATCCTGAACGAGGAGTTTCCTTTCCTCGACTTTCCACCCCTTTTCCCCTCGACCCTGAGACCCTTACATATCCCTAGAGTCCTTTCTGTAGAAGCCTCATATCCCAGGAGGGAGCTTGGTCGGTTCATTGCTTGCTCTCCCTGATATTCAGCATCCTGAGCGGGCATTGGACGATCCTGACTATGCTGACTATGTGTCAGTGAGGTTCTGAAAATTGCGCCTCTGGGTTCCAGAGTTTCGGGCACCTACTCAGCTACCATGGGGCTCGACGAAGGGCATTGCACAAGTGAATTACAGACAAGTGAACCCCTCGCAGTTGAAAGCATTGTCAAATTGATGCTTGTGAAGGGCACGTGTTCAGGATTCCGGACCGGGGTGACTTCTTGAGGTGTAAAGGTTGTATCCTAGGACTAGGTGGACTGGCATTCTGGGTTTCGTGCTTGTAGCCTGACTGCGTCTCTTCGAATGCCAACCCCTGCTCCTCACCCCAAAAGTCGCATCCCGACAGAAGCAGCAACAAGAACAAGGCCATGGTATCAACAGGGATCTCAGTCTACAAACCCACAGAAGAACAATGATACTTCGTTGCAGGCTCCAGCACAAAGAACTCCAGTCTACAGATCAAAAACTTAACAGTCACGTATTCACACGCTAAGTAGGATGACTTCCCTGGGACGCCAGATGTAGTGGTGCCAGCACCTTCGTATGTCCACCTAGTTGTGAAGTCCCCACTCCCGCAATCATTTATATTCGTCTCATTACGTACTCAGGGATTCATCTTAAGCAGTTTTTCAAGACATGTAAGACATGTGTGTATACATACACATATGTAGACGTCTCTTTCTCTCCCATCATCTTATGTCTATATCCAAGCCTGTGTATATATATATATACACACACACATATACATTGGGTACCCCCCCCTCCCGCCGTAACAGATAGATGATATTTGTAATGGGTATCTGTAGCCCTGAATATGAGCCCTAATAACAACCGTTATAGGGCAGGGGCAGTAGTGCGCGTCTCTCTCCGGGGCCAAGGGATCAGGCACATACACGAGACCCAATTGAGCAGTATTTGGAAGGTTTTGGGGGTTTAGGGTCTAGAATGTATCTTAAACAGGGGTATTACAGTCCCCAGTGGAGAGTAAGATGATATCTTCCTCAGAAGATGCTAGAATCTTTACGTGCTTCAGCTACCAAATATGCTTCTCCAAATCCTGAGTTTTGTGGGTCTCCACAAAACTGTCATTGCTTCGGCTAGGTATCTCAGCCTCTGGTAGCAGATTTAGGGTGTAGGGTTCGAGTTAGGCCTCCTCAACAACCAAGGAATCTGATCTTGCAATGGTGCCTTTACATCTTATTTACTTCTATATACTTCCTGTAGCTCCTCTCATGAATCCGGGGGTGTTCAGCTTGTGGCAGGTGTCATTGCCTACTTCTACCATGCTGAACATCTCAAGGCAACTCTGTCGGCCCATGCTGTTTGGGGATTTCTGGGGTTTAGGGGGTGTAGCTTCGGGGGTTTAGGGCTTTGAGGGGTTCAGGGATTTCGGGGTCGATTGTGTGTTTTTGTTGCTTTCCGCAGGTGTAGGGGTTTTAGGTGTTTAGGGTTTGCGTGTTCAGCGTTCGGGGGTTTTAGGGCTTCAGGTGTTGTCGGGGTGTAGGGCTTCAAGCATCTAGGTTATAGGGTTTAAGGACCCTCATTCTTGGGCCTTCCAAGAAGAGGGTAAGTATAGGAGCTGGGTGAGATATGGAGATTGTGCGGAGGTTGCAGGGTACCGTGCAAACTTTGCAAGGATTGCTTCCAGAAACGCCCGTACAAGGGTGCACCCTGAGGGACATTACGCGGAGCATTGCCTGTGGAGAGAAGGCGCGATAAAAACAAAACCTCACTGCTGGTTTGTATGGACTAAGGGAATATATTAAATGTGAGTTATATTTGACAGAGTTTATATGAACTTTAGTCTTAACTCCTTACACTGGGGTTATATAGGGGAGTAATACTGGGGAATCAGGGACTACATTCCCTTATTCCACACTAACTACATATCAGAAGTCTGAGCCCCAAACTATGTCACTGAAAGGGGCAGGATACCCTAACCCCAAACCCTCGGGTTTAGGATTTAGGGTTTAGGATTTAGGGCTTAGGATCTAGGGTTTGGGGTTTAAGGTTTAGGGTTTACCGTTTTGCACCCTGAGCCCTAATCCCCAAGCTCACCGGAAGGCGGGGGATGCAGCTTACAAAGAAGACGAGCGGAAGCAGGTCTACCAGGCCAGAGGTTACCCTAAGGGTCCAACGACCCAAATAATAGGGTTTTAGGGCCCAAATACTATACTATTAATGGTATTTGGGCCCTGAAGCCCTATTATTTGGGTCCTCGGACCCTTAGGGTTAACGCGTACTGAGGCTTAAAATTGTGGGAGCAGAGGTTAGGGCTTACTGTAGGGATCTACGGCTGATGGACAATCTTCCATGACCCTAAGCTTTACTAAGTCTAGCATTCTGCCGGGGTTTTCAGGGGTTTGGTATATAGGGTGATGCAGGATTTCGCATATCAACAGTATGGATTAGGGAACGTGAAGGCAAGCTTTGGGTTGCTGTGCTGGGCTGAATACATATATACATATATATATATATTTATACACATACATGTACATGTGTATACACGATTTCGCAAAGCTAGGGAAAGGGGTTTATAGGGTTATATAGGGATACAGGTTTAGGGTTTAGGGATTAGGTTTCCCAACACTAGTGGAACCTTTTTTTTGAGGGTCCCCATACTAAGGATGATGCGGTTTATATAGCTTAGGGTTTAGGGCTTAGGGGGTCCGCCCTAGACCTTAAATTCTGAAGGGAATTCTGGGCTGCGGGCTCAAAATACATGGCCTTCGGCTCTAGGCACTGTTACTTGGAGATTCAGGGATAAAAGGACCCAAGGTATCACCTTTGAGTGTACTTATAAAGCAGGTATATTCGCCCCAAGTCCATTGAGATGGCTAGAATTGCTATATACGTGCAAGTCATGTTTGGGTTATAACTCAATATTTTGGGACTTAGTAATAATGGACAAGAAAATGGAAACTACTATATATATATATTATCTAGGGTTTAGGGTTTCACCACGAATTTGTTACCCTAAACCCCAAGCCCTAAATCGTGGTTTGCATTTTCTTTTCCATTATATAACCCTAAACCCTAAACCCTCCAAGCAGAAGTGAGAAGCAGGGTAAGCTAAGTTCTGATTTGTCCCCGGCTTCCCATGCTTATCTTCATTCGGTTTCGGGTTTAGGGTTCAGGAATAGGGTTTAGGTTTAGGGTTTAGGATTAGGGCTTAAGGTGTAGGATCAGGGTTTAGGGCTTAGGCTCTAGGATTAGGGTTTCTGTCTGAACGTCACCAATCCTTAGCAGGGTCGGGCAATTGTGGGCTTAGGCTGCAATTGCTTCCCTCTACAACATCCCTGGGCACAAAATGCCCCTCCCCCCGATATTGGGTGGCTCATCAAACCACCCTTACTAGACAAGCCATTCTGAAAAAATCACCTACATATATTGCCTTGTAGACCTACGGGATCCTTGAATGATTCTCTACAGCTTCGGAGTAATTACCCTCCTGATTAATAAGTATGACCTATAAAGCTGTACATAATTGGGGCTGCGGGTAGTCTTTCCTTCTTAAACCCCAAAATACGCCACACGCCCAGTCTCCATTCAATTTCCCATGTTTTCTTCCATTGGATTCTCCAATTTTCCTGGCCCAAAACCCGTTTTTCAGGCAAGCCCTTTGCTTCTTGCAAGGAGATCTACCGCATTGGCGCCTACATCGCTGAAGCTGCCAACTCTAAGGCAGGTTAGGGTTCAGGGTTTACTGGGTTGCTGTTAAGGAACTTAAATTAAGTTACCATATTGGATGTATATAGTAAATAATAGGGTTTCCCCAATACAGTAACTTAATTTAAGTTCCTTAACAGCAACCTAGTTTAGGGTTTAGGAGCTCAGCAGAACTCCAAAGTATGCAGAAGAACGGCCTTTGCGGTCATGTTTCTTGGTTTGGTTTATCTACTTTTGGGGGTAGAGGTGTTAGGTGTAGGGTCTTGGTTTCGAGTGATTACAGCGGTTTGGTTTATCTACTTTTGGGGTTCAGGTAGAGGCGTCAGGCGGAGAGTCTTGGTTTAGAGCGGATTCAGCGCTAATTAGAGGGCTTGTGGGTTTGGGGGGTTCTGGTGTAGGTAGGTTTGATGGTATGGCTTCCAGCGGTGGAAGGCTCAAGACCTTAAACCCTAAACCCGATGCCCTATTAGGGGCTTGGGGCTGAAGGGTCTGGGGGGTTTTAGGCTTCAGGGCCTGCAGATATTTTCATGATGCCTGCAAGGACTCAGCCCTGATAAGGTTTAGGGTTTAGGGTGTAGGTCGTGCTTACCGATAAAGGAGAATCTCGTGGTCCAGAGGAAGAAGCAAGACTAAAAGATGGGCACTTTTCAGTGTGCGCGTTTACCAGGCAGCATGGACCCTAAACCCGAAACGCTGAACCCTCGCGGGCCTGGGGTTAGGCCTCCGAGAGGCAGTTGTGGGCTGGCGCAGCAAGTATGACTTGAGACGTCATTGCAGGATCTGCGGCCTGTGATTTCCATGTTCTGAAGCGGGGTGGCTAGAGAATCTTGGGTGAGCTTGGGAAGTGCCGGTGGGCAGACTAGACGACTACTTATGCCGGTTGCGCCCACCACGTTCATGGTATGGCACGTTTGCAGGGGTAGCTCACCTTGTTCCGTCTCTTGCCATGGGGTGCTTAGGATGTAGGGTTAGGATTTAGGTGCTGGTCTACAGGGCCCCTACGGCTTGTGGAAGACTTGTTCAACCCAACTCCCTGGCTAAAACTGCCCGGCGAGTTCCATGGGGGGATTATATAGGGAGTACTATAGAGATTATTAGGGGGGATACTAGGAGTTAATTAGATTATAGGTCATTGAAGGCTATAAAGCCCAAGACTCAGGCCCGGGAGACCATAACCCCGAACCGCAACCCTGGAACTGCAACTTCAAGCCCTAAACCCTCAACCCCTTAGCCCTAGATCCTACACTCTTAGAACCCTGGAACCCTAAACCCTACACCCCTAAATCCCTAAACCCTAAAACCCTACCCTCCTAAACCCCTAAACCCAAAGCCCTAAACGGAAAACCCTGAACTTAGCCCTCC